CTTGAAGCTTTCTAGAAATGAGACAGATGCTGTATTTTTGGTAGAACCACTGTCTCCCTAGCTTCGTGCCCTGGAACCTAGTGTCCTGTCTTCCTCTCTGACTGCACTGAATAGTAGCCACTTGGCTCTGTGGCCACCTTCCCGGGTATCCACACACATCCTGGGCAGACAAATAGGGTTGTGAAGAGCAGTGCTGGCTTGGCAGATGCTTAAGCAGCCCCTTCCCCGTCTTGTAGGAATTCTGGACAGTTACAGAGATGTGGTGGGGTCTTGGGTTGCATAAGTGGATATGCAGAAATTTTGATTAGCAACACCAACTTTGATAAAGCACTTAAGCTGAAACTGCTATTGTCTGTAACCTGGGAAAGGTTAGCTGAAAACTGCCCCCCTTTAGTGGGTGGCAGGTTATCTGTGTTTGTCCTCAAAGAATTAAATTGGGAAGAGATGAGACAAGATCAAACATCTACAGGAATTAAACACACACACACACACACACACACACACACACACACACACACGTATCTGGGAACAATGTGGGGAAGCTCTCAAATCCAATCATTGACACCAGGACAGACCTCAGGGAGGAGCAGATGAGTGGGGATGACTTTGGCTGGGGGAGGGGTGTGGTGGGTGTAAAAATAGATCATTCAATGAGTCAGGCTTGACTCTGGAATGCTAAACTCTGGTCCCTTTGTCAGGTACAACCCCCTGTGACATCAGATGCATGAGCTAGGGCAGAAACGAGGGTGAGGGGAGAGGTGGAGGCTGAGAAAACCCTCATGCAGCTGGGAAGGGTATCATAGCCACCCAGCCAAGTGCACCCTATGTCCTTGTCCACCTTTGTGTCTTAGGGTCACTGCACTTCTGCATTACAGATAAATCTGAGTGCTACTAAGTGAGAACCACAAATTCTAGGTTCTTTGTGTTTGGTCAGGGACAGAGAAGGAAACAAGTGTGGCATGTGGAGGTCTGGAGATGCTACCAAAGGTGTCAGCAAGACCAGTATCAGGAGGAACAATCTGGTCGGAGAAGATCAAGGGCTTCTCCTGGGGAAGGCTATTTTTACGTTCAAATTAATATGGTGGCTGTGAAGGTGACTGAGGGTGGAGACAGTGGTTGTGCCTAGTGACCTGCCTCTTTGCTAGGGATGGGAATTCTGTCTCCTAGGTTTGCCTGAGACTGTGGGTGACCCTCCTGTGTGTGACTCTCTTGTCCAGGACCATAGCCATGGCCCAGAATGGGACACTGACCCAGCCCAGATTGAGGAGCTTCAGGACAGACACTCAGACTGCCTTCATCACCCCACTCACTCCCACCTTCTCTGATCTTCCATCTCCCTCCATTTTCATACACATCCACCCTTTTTATTTTCCTAATAATTTTGATTATGAATAAACATACTGAAAATCACACATCCTGCTAAACACATAGCATTCAGCTCTGTCAATCTTACCATTTTGCCATTTCATTTTAAGAAATAAAATCTCGGGGCAGCTGGGTGGCTCATGGGTTGAGCATCTGCCTCTTGATTTTGGCTCAGGTCATGATCCCAGGGTTGTGGGATCCAGCCCTGCATCTGGTTCCAAGCTGAGCATGGAGCCTGATTAAGATTCCCTCTCTCCCTCTGCCCCCTTCCCCCGCTTACTCTCTCTGGGTGGGGTGGGGGGGAAGGAAAGAAAGAAAATCTCACAGATGGTTGAAACCCTGACCTGTGAACATCTCCATCCATTTCTCTTCCAGAGGTGACCACTATCCTGGATTAAGATTATAACCCCCATATTACACATTGGAGTAGTCTATCTATGTGTGTATTTATAAACACTATGGTATAGTACAGTTTTGAATGATTTTAAACTTTTTATACTGGATATAACCCTTTTCAACTTTTTTTTCTTGCTTTTATGAAAAAAATTTGAGCATTTGTGTTTGTATATGTGTTAATACTGATAACTCTGGTTCATTAACGTTAACTGCTATGTAGTATTCTATACCTCATTCTACCCATTCTCTTATTAATGGACATTTAAGTCCTTGTAATTTGGTATTCTTACAAATAATGATGCAGCAAATATTTTTATAAAGGTCTCCTTGCACCCATGGGCATGAATTTCTCTAGAGCACATACCTAGGAATCTGGGTGTCTTTGACTCTACCAGACATTCCCAAATTGCTCTTCAAAGTGGCTCTACAAATCCCACTCCTCTAGCAGCATTTGGGGAATTACTGTTTTCCCACATTCTCAAATATTTGGGATTGTCAGACTTGTATTTATTTATTTATTTTAATGTTTACTTATTTTTGAGAGAAAGAGTGTGAGTGGGGGAAGGGCAGAGAGAGAGAGAGAGAGAGAGAGAAAGAGAGAGAGAGAGAGAGGCAGAATCTGAAGTGGGCTCCAAGCTCTGAGCTGTCAGCACAGAGCCCAATGTGGGGCTTGAACCCACGAACCATGAGATCATGACCTGAGCTGAATTCAGAAACTTAACTGACTGAGCCACCCAGGTGCCCCGGGATTGTCAGACTTTTAAATTTTTGCCACTGGGATATGTGTAAAAGGGATCTCCTAGTCATTTTCTCTCCCAAGTCCCCAGTGCTTCTAGAATGTTCACCTACCACTTGCATCCCAGAACACACAATAGGGATGGATCAAGCATGGAGGACCTGGCTGGCTCCCTTCTTCTGACCACCAGATACTGGGAGTGTACAGAGTGTCCCTATTTGCAGGGACCCCTTCTCTATCTCCACTTTCCCCTCAGGTAATCTTTCCCTGTCACAGGGCTTTAGAATGCTAACACATATGCCAATGACTTCCAAATGTGTAAATCTCTCCGTACTGACAGTCAAAAGCCACTTACAAATTTGTTGATGGCCAATAAGAAAATCAAATAAGGCTTAACCTACCCAATATCCAACTTGATTTTTTCCTCAAACCTAACCCTTCCCCATGTCAGTCAAGGGCACTGCCATCTGTCTGATTCTTCAAGCCAAAAACATAGGAGTTGTCCTTGATTCTTCTCTTCTTACCCCTCCTACATTGAGTCCGTCAACTTCTCTCAATTGCTGTATTAAATTGTTCCCCCCCACCCATCTTGTTTCTAATTCCACTGCTAGCACCTTGCTGTAAGCCAGCTGGACCACTCTTGCCTGGATCACTGTAATTGCCTCAAAACTGGTCTTGCTGCTTCTCCTCTTGTCCTTACAAACCATCTTTAGCCAGCAGCCAAAGTGATCTTTTTAGAACATAAAACAAAGAAAATGTCTTTCCATCCTAAAGCCCTTTGATGGTTCTTAGTGTAGAAATCTCAAATTTATGGATACATGATCTAGAATGCCAGTAGACCTGGTCCCTGCCTGCCTCTCTGCCACATGCCTCCCCACATGCCACAAGCCTCTGGGACTTTCTTTGTATGGAGGGGTCTTCCCATGATCTTTTCATGGTTCCCATCTCATTCAGGTCTCCATCACTTCCTCAAGATCTACCCTCACCATCCCACCCTAGCTAGAGCAGTGGCCACTTAGCTGCCCCCTATGGCATCACCCTGTTCCATTTTCATCCTGGAACTTCTCAGTGCTCAGGGCTGTGGACTGTGCTCCACCAGAGTATCATCTCCATCAGAACTGCCAACCTTATTCTGTGCTTGTATAACCTGGCATGAAGTGGGTGCCCATAAAAGTTTGTTGAATTAATGAATGAACAGATGAGGTCAACATTTTAGAACAGCCTATAAACTCAAAAGAAGTTTCTCCCAGAGTCTGGGTGGGATAACAACTGCTTGAGGCAAGACAATACCTGTCTTTGGCTATAACAGCAATTGTCAAACTTTTTAGTCCTTAGTTCCCTTTATACTATTAAAAATTATGGAGAACCCCGAAAAACTAGTGTTCATGTGGATTATATGTACAGATACTTGCTGTATTAGGAGTTAAAATGGAGACATTTTTAAAATACTTATTTCTTTTTTTTTTTTTAATTTTTTTAACGTTTATTTATTTTTGAGACAGAGAGAGACAGAGCATGAACAGGGAGGGGCAGAGAGAGAGGGAGACACAGAATCGGAAACAGGCTCCAGACTCTGAGCCATCAGCACAGAGCCCGACGCGGGGCTCAAACTCACGGACCGTGAGATCATGACCTGAGCCGAAGTCAGACGCTTAACCGACCGAGCCACCCAGGCGCCCCTAAAATACTTATTTCAAAACAAGGATAAATCTATTATGTTATGACATAAATAATGTTTATATAAAAACAACTATATATTTTTAAAAATAAGTGAGAACAGCTGCTCTACACATATAATGCCTAGTTAGCACCAGGAAGGATTCTGTTAGATAACTGATTAGGTGGCCTCAAGAGTTTAGACCAGCCTTCAGTTTCAGCTGGAGCCTCTTCCCAGGTGTATGGGTAGAGGATCTAAGCCCGCATAAGCCTTCTGCAAGAAGAAGGTACTTTTCCCTCTCCAGTCCCCCGCTGCACATTCCATGCAGCTCTCTCTCTTCCTTTTTCCCAGTCTACTTTATTAAAAAGAATAAATAAAAAGCAAAGAATAGGATGAGTAGTAAACTTAAGGTCTGGAAATTGATTACAAACTATACAGGTCCTTTAAATATGCTTATTTCTGTAATCAGAACCATGATTCTATAAATTTTAATGCAGGGAATTCCTCTTGAGTTTTGACTGTGACAAAATGAATGTGGAAGCCTGGTTTTACAGGATTTGTTTATTCCTTTTTGTATTCATGTTGAGAAACCAAACTGGGTGTCATATCCTTTTTCTTAGGGCTGTACCGAAACCTAAGTTCTTCCTCTTTTTTTTATTTTAGAAAAATCTGCTCCCACCCTCTTTATTTTTTTCCTCTGGCTAGAGGAAATTCACACAGCCAGGATTTAAAAAAAAAAAAAAAAAAAAAAAGGTGGTCTCTGTGCTATTGAAGTGGCAGAGGCTCCTCTGGCTCTGGGCACGCCTCTTCCACTGTTGACGTCACACTATTTTTGTCTTTGAATAGCTCATTGACACAATCGCCTCGGAGATCGGAGAACTGAAACAGGAGATGGTGCAGACAGATGTCAGCCTGGAAAATGGCCTGGAACCCAGCGAAGCCCACAGGTGACCAAGACGATCAGGTGCCGGGCATCAGATGGGGGCTAAGCGAACCCTAGCGGCTAGGAGGACTGCCATCTCGGCTCGTCAGAAGTTTGGGAACTGGGAGTGTGGTGGCCTCTCCAGATGAAGCTCTCTGTAGGAGGTGGGAGTGGCCTAGGAACCACTTGTGTGTTTATTTTAATCACTTCGAAGGCACTTGAACTTTACAACCTCTCAATGCCTGCTGGCACCAGAACCCGGAAACCTAAAGTTCTAGCTGCCCTATCCACCTACTCACAGTGATGGAAACAATAACGCAGCAGGATCCTCCGCGTGCAAAATAGAATTCAGTGTAGCCGGTGTCAGTCTCCAGAAGGTTTAAAGGGGAGCCCTAAAGAGGATGGACTCGTTTTGCGTTCTCAGGTCAGAAAAAAAACCCTAGCACTTGTCATAGCTATTAACCTAAAATGTGACCCAGTGTACTGTAGTGCGGATGTGGTTGTAAATGATTAAGGAAAGGGGGGGCATTTTGCTATGCTGGTTAATCGTGATGTGTTGTGCACGTATCGCACCTGATCTGAGTAATTTGTAAGGGAGTGGTCTTTATCAGGAGAATAGGAGTACAGAGGCCAGGGTTGCAGTGGCAGGTTGGAGGAGGTCACTAAAACCTCATCTTAGCTCTTGGATGCTGTCATTCATTGCTAGCAAAGGTAACAGAATATAGTCACTACAAAATGACACAGACACTTGGTGCCTTGGAGCCCAGACTATTAGGTTTCCCCTCTTTCCCAGGAAATGGGTTGAGGCAGCCTGGTGTAGTGTAGGAGTGAGATTCCCCGGGGTAGGCTTTACTTACAAGTCATGAGACAGGCAGGAATCCTGCAACAGCAAGCGAACCAGGTGGTGCTGGTTGCCCAGGCAAGTTTCAAACCAGCCCAACTTGTTCCCTGCCATAGACTGCAGGGAGAGCAGGCAATTTGCAAAGAGGCACTTTGCAGCTGGAAGGGGGTGCTTTAACTCTCCTGTGTCTCTGGAGGAACTGTATTCCCTCATAGCTGTGGAAATGCTACATGCCGTCCATTTCCTTTCTTTCTCTACAAAATGTGGGGAGTAGACCACAGCTACTTGCCCAAGCTACTTGTGCAGCACCCTGGCATTCCATGATTATCCTTGACCTTGGTGGCTAATTTTTCCCCCATAAACTAAACAAATGCACAGTGACTTTTAATTAAACTCTCCACCTCACAGTCAGAATAGTGCCAAACTCTGTGGAACTTTAGCCAGGGATTTCTCTTTACCCTTTGCATTATTGAGCAAAATTAAATTGGAAGTCCAGGTTGGTGACAGAAAGGCAAAGAAGAGAGGTTGAGGAGCTGACTTGTCCTATATCCAGGAAACGCAGTACTGCAAGATAGTCCCAAACTCTGCAGATGACAGACACCAACGGCAGAAACCAGCCCTCCATGTGTAAGGCACAGGGATGTTAGGTTAGCTAGAAGACATGAAAGTATGTCAGGTGCCATCAGAATCTTGATGTCTGACTGCAGTAGGTATCGGGGTGGGAGAGCTGGGCTGCCATTTACTCTTTAACATCTCTATGTTTTTCTTTTCAAGTTTGAGAATGACTGTAAGCATTCCACAAAAGCTATGTTTTACAAATTAATGTCACTTACTCTTGAATGCTGTGTTGGTTAACATTGAATTTGTGAAATTTCAGAGGCATTTTATTATTGGTGCTTTTTTTAGTGAGAAAGAAAGAGAAAAGGCAAGATTGTCTTTGGTGAACAATGCCTATGGTGTTTACCATGTGCCAGCCACTGTTGTAAGTGCGTCACAGCTGCCGGCTCATTGAATCTCTTAACTACCCTACGAGGTAAAGCTCCAGTATGGCCCTCATTCTACTAACGTGTGACCTGTGTGATCTGGAAAAAAGCCAGACTAATGAGGCTGTGGCTTCTGCGCTGGGGTCTTTCCCAGATTTTGTAGAAGTGTGGAGTGTTGACTTTGCTGTTAGTTCCTCTATTTTGCCCGATGATGTTAAGGTGGTCAGATATCAGAGAGGTAGGGCAAAGAGGACCTTACCTCAAGTGAAAACCCTGTAGAGAGAAGAAGCATCACCCCCCACCCCAGGGGCCTTGACTGGGCACATCCCAGTGGCTACACAGATGTACTGAAGTCACCTTCCTCTGTGGCATCCTCGGTGAGTGTGAGCTGTGATAATAGCCTCATCTACCCCAGCCACAATCACCATGAAGTGTCTATGGTCTCTTAGTTTGTTGGATGGCGGGTTAAGTGCCAAGCTGGTGCGCTAGGTGAGGAATGCTGTTCCTCTACTTGTGTTGGCTTTTGGTTGCTCCTTTGTGGTTAATATTGAAGTGAGCTTGAAATCTTTAACTTTTTTGTGTGTCATGGGTCCCCTTCTCAGAATCATATTTTAAATGCACAAAATAAAATAAAATATGTAGGATGACATAGGGAAAACAATTCTATCACAGTAGAATGATCAGAATTCTTAAAATGCATGCTTTCTATAGCACAGGTACTTCTTTATTAACACATTAAATAACAAGGTCCATCGAGCACCTGGGTGGCTCAGTCAGTTAAGCATCTGACTTCAGCTCAGATCATGATCTCACGGCTCACGGGTTCGAGCCCCATGTCGACCTCTATGCTGACAGCTCAGAGCCTGGAGCCTGCTTCAGATTCTGTGTCTC